AATCTTAATCATCCTTAACTACCGGAAAATCCCATATTCTTCATACCTTTTAAATATTGTGCTAGTAGGTATGCAAATCTAATACTCAAAATTCTGCAAAGCTATTAATAAAGAGTTTGGATGCACAAAATCGAGTACCTGCTGTGTTAGACTACGAAAAATCTTAATCATCCTTAATTACGGGAATGGCAGTATCGAGGGTATGAAACTTTGGTTAGGCGTGTTATATACCGTTGGAAAGGTAATTGTATATACCTTCTCATATAAGTTTTATTTTCAGGTTTCCGAGACACTTACACAATAATACGAAAAAAAGAAGACAATAGGTCATATATTAAAAATTAAAAAAACCGCTGTTTCGAGTTACTAAACGCTAATTTCGATTGATACACAAGTTGCATCCCACTAAGCGACCACAAAGCTCTTAAAGAAAAATACCTAAGCTTTCTTTTGAGCAAAAAAAAATTAAAATAAAAATACCCCTTTTTGAAAAAAAACATAAAAATTATTTTTTATTTAAAAAAAAAAATTAAAAAAAATTCATTTTAATAAAAAAAAAATAAAATTTGTAAAGACTGAAGAGAAATCTATCGAAAACATTCCTGAAAAAATTTTCTAAATACAATAGGTAATTAGTTATATGGATCCGAAAAAATGGCCGTTTGACCAAAATGTCAAAATTCAAGACCCTCCAACTCGGAGTATGTTTGACCGATCCAATTGAAATTTTGTGTCATAACTACTATTTTTTAGGACTAACCTTGGTGCAAATTTCATCCCGATCGGAAGACATAGATTTCAAAAGTTGGGTCACTTGAGGTGAAATGCCCCATATACGTTTTCTATACCTGCAACTTTATTGGCTTTTTATTTGATTTTGACATACAATGTTTTAAACCATGATAAGACGTAATCATACGACCTTTTACAACAAAAAAGGGACGTATCTCTCGAAAGAGAAGATGAAAACAATTCAAGTAAGTACTCGATAATTTGCCGATACTGAGTAGGTATCGATACTTTCAGTCTTTTGAGTACAAGTACTCATTAGAGTGATACCTTAGTGGTATCGATTGAATCCTATGGATACGTATTTTGTATTTCGCCAAATGAAGTTGATAACAAGATTAAATGTAAAATTGGTTAGGTTGAAGCTATTGCCATAGTTACTCGGTTTAAAATACAATCTTATAGACTTTACGACATGGACGCAACTGAAAGCCAAGCAAATAGTTGTGTTTAATCAACGTAATAAAACTGAAAAAGTTTTCAAAGCGTATGGCGGACAGGTGCTTACAATTGTTGGCGTGTTTGAGGCCCACGTTGAGATAGGCGGCAAGGAAGCTTCAGCTGATTTTTATGTTATGCAAGGGGATGGAAAATTTCTGATTGGCCGCGATACAGCAACGGCATTGGGTGTATTGTAAATCGGTCACCATATAAACAAAATTTACTGCTATGGAGAAAAAGGAAAACCAATTTGAAAAATTAAACACATTGTTGTTGATATCCCATTGCGTGAAGATGTAGCACCAGTGATACAGCCCTATCGGCAGATTGCAGTACCATTAGAAGCAAGACTCAAGACATTATAGAAAAGGTTGATGGTCCGTCAAAATCCATCTCTGCAATGGTTGAAGTTCCGAAGTATGACGGAAAAGATGTTCGTATTTGTATCGATATGCGTAGAGCTAAAGAGGCAGTTCAACGAGAAAATTACCCGCTACCAACTATGGGGAACTTTTTGCCATATATTGGTAAGGGAAATTGTTTTGGAAAGATTGATGTGAAACAAGCCTTACACCAGGTGGAGATTTGAGAAAAATCTAGAGAAATAACCACATTTAGCACACGTAAAGGGTTGTTTAGATACAAGCGTTTAATGTTCGGTATAACGTGCGTACCTGAGATATTCCAAAAAATTATGGATCAGATGTTAAGCGGCTGCGAAGGGTGCCTGTTCTATAAAGATGATATACTGTTGTATGGGAAGGATAAGGAGGCATTGAATCAGCGCACTGCAAAAGTACTGGAAGTCCTCAAAGAATATGACGTAACCCTAAACCATGACAAATGTGTGTATGGTGAGAGCGAAATTGAGTTCCTTGGTCATCGACTAAATAAAAATGGGATTATGCCCTCAGCAAATAAAGTGATAGCTGTTAAACAATTTCGACGTCCCATGATAACTAAAGAAGTCCGCAGTTTCCTTGGTTTGGTGACCTGTGTGGGTTAGTTTGTACCGGATTTGGCTACCATTACCGAACCACTTCGATCTTTGACAAGAAAAAATCCCATTTTTATGTGGGACGAGACACACCAACAAGCATTTGACAAATTAAACAGCTGATAACGAGCGATATGCTACTGGGCTATTATAGCGTTGAGGACCATACACAATTGTACGCTGATGGTAGTCCAGTAGGATTGCGAGCTGTATTAATTCAACATGACAAGCATGGACCAAGAATAATTTCGTACGCTAGCAAAAGTTTATCAGATGTTGAGAAACAATATTGCCAAACTGAAAAGGAAGATCTCTCCCTCGTGTGGGCGGTTGAACGGTTCCACTATTCGGCCGAGAGTGAGTTAGTGACAGACCACAAACCTTTAGAGGTAATATTTGGTGCCAAGTCAATCCTACAAGTATGGAGTTGTCTACAAAAAAGGATAGATCATAGATCATACGAACTCAAATACTACATTTGATAACGATTCAGAGCATTATGTCAATTGGGTTGCAAATTTAGCAACTCCAAAAGCATTGGAGATGGATGAAATTGTGGAGTTCTCGGAAAGGGATGAGACTATACTAGCATTAAAAAAGCAATATACCAAAATGAGTGGCCAGATTCCTTGAAATCATTCCAGCTGTTTGAAATGGAACTTTGTTTTTCAGGCAGTATATTATTACGCGGCACACGTATTATTATACCCGAAGCACTACGTGAAATAACTGTCCAGCTTGCACACGAAGGCCATCCTGGGATGACAGTCATGAAACGCTGCTTAGGAGCAAAAGTATGGTGGCCAAAAATAGATCAACATGTTGAGAATTTCGTTAAAAGTTGTTATGGTTGTACGCTAGTAACAGCTCCGCCACCACCAGAACCTATGAAAAGGAAGGAATTACCATCGGAACCATGGCAGCACGTATCAATGGATTTTCTTGGACCACTCCCGTCCGGTCATAATTTGCTCGTTTCGGTTGATTATTACATCCACTTTGTAGAAATCGATGCTATGAAGAAAATTGACTCTACAGAAACAATTCAACGCCTTTGCAGTATATTCGCTTGTTTTGGCACGCCACTTTCCATCACGCCCGACAATGGAAGACAGTTGATAAGCGAAAAATTATAATGACAATAACATTAAAGTGATAAGTACAATTCCATACTGGCCACAGCAAAATGGAGATGTGGAAAGTCAAAACCGATCCATATTAAAGCGCCTGGTTATCAGCCAACTGTTGAAACAAGATTGGGTGGCAGATCTACAAAGCTATCTTCACATGTATCGCTCGACAGAACGTTCCACTACTTTAAAAACACCGGCTGAGTTGATGTTTGGTCGAAATATTCGCGATAAAATGCCAACAATATTTCAACCATTAGAGAAGAATAATAAAACTTTTGATCGCGATAAAGAAAAGTGAGAAAAGAGAAGACGTGTAATATAAAATTTTTATGAAATAAAAAGGAAAGGAGTAATGTAGTATCTGGTAACACTAAGGGCCAGTTTTTCAGTGC